AAAATTTCTTCTTATTGATTAGTGTAGNGTTTTTCTCTCGACGAGAAGTAAGAAGTTGAAACGAAATGAAGAAATTCAAAAAGCTTATAAGATAATAAGACGCCAAAAAAATAGAATAACTTCAAAAAAAAAAAAAACTGCTCAAATTCTACTAAACCATATTAAGGTACTGTATATTATAATATAAAGTATTATGGTATTGGTTGTTTTTAACTAAACTGATATAGACTAATGAAAGTTTAACATTGTGTACAGTATATTCTACTCTAGATGTTCAGGTCAAATGCCCAAAGGAATGAATAGAAAAAAACATTAACTAAAAAAGCTAAAATCCTAAGCAAAGCCAACGAAATATACCGCGATTTTTCTCCCAAATCATTTGTGGGAGAAATGAATTTAAGGTTGAAGCGAAAGCAATAATGAGCAACAGAATATAGGAAAAGCAAACGGATAGCATGGCCCATTTCAATTTCTGAAGCTTATCACCCAAAATTGACAAATAACTGATAAAAATTTCTTGTACTTCTTCTGCCACTAATTCCAAATCGTTATTTACAATTCGAGGATATTCTGTAAAACAGATTTCTCGGTTTTTTTATTTGGATATTTTGGGATTTGTAAGATTATTTTAAAATTCCATTTATAATTTTTAATTAGCAAAATTTCAAATATAATTAAAGACTTTAGAGGTGAGTTTTTTCATGACCGTCATTTGTGCTCTCTCATATGGATTCAGAAGGACGTTTTTGCTAAAAACATCAACATCGCTTTGCGAAAAACTACATGAAAGTGTTATGTTGTTGTGCTAAAACACGTGGATAGATGATGAAACGTCAGAGTATCACCCAACCATTTTTTTACTTTAATATTTCAATTTAACATTTACTTAATACTTTGCTTTACCTTACTTTAATTTATTTTTATTAGTTTATTTCAATATTTACTTTAACATTTTACTCCTTTTCCTTTTGTATTTAATATATGAAATTTCATTTAAAATAACCCTCGTTAAAAAGTACATCACATTGCCGTCGACACAATTCCATATCATAGGTGCAAAAATCGATCAACATAGATGGTATTGGTTTTGAGGTGAAATCCCACCAAATGGTAGCATGCAATGTGCCTGCAGCTACAATTAAACTTAAAGAGAGATGTATGTAACCGAACCAAATGGGTAATTTAATTAAATTGTTGCTTGATGTCTTGTCCTTACTATCTGCTTTCGTTTTCGGTGATTCTGAAATAAAATTATATCGAATAAGTAGAAATGGTTATGAAAACTTTTATGCTATGGATAATACTGCCAAAAAGTGATACTTCAAAAGACAACTGCTCAAAAAAAAGAAAAATGCGAAAAAGAATTGATAGGAATTTATGAATTTTGTATCAAATATAAAAACTAGAATTTTAAAAAGTGAAATGAACGGTGTTTCACAGAGGTACGCTAGAACACTTTCATTTCTTATCTATATTCTTGCCATATTGTACTACTTACGCATTTGATTGTCAGTTGCATTCAAAAAAAATTAAGTTAAAAATACGATGACAATGCTAATTAGAAATCTGTGCAGTTAGAGAATAATAAAATGGGAAAAGAAGTAGCACTTCGATAACATTAACATCTTCAATAAATCAGAATGCATTTGAATTGGTACGGATGAAGAGACTGTGAAAATTCTCAAACACTTTAAATTCATATTTCCATAGTTTCTGAAATTTTAAAACTGAATGCGACTGCAACAGAACCAATAAACTTGTTACGACGCCCTTCGCAATATGTAAAATCAATCATTGGAATTCCGCTAATTTCTTCCTTGCGTGTTGTTTCGTTAACCCAATGGTTGTAAAACATCAATCTTAAATTCTCGATGTCGTAATCATCAGATTGGATCCAACATGCTAAAAAATTATACAAGGAACATAAATTTGATAAGACCAAATTCTAGATACCAAAATAGCCATACTTATAGTAAAGCAAAGTTTTCAAGTTCAAAGTCACTGTGCGAACCATTTCCGACTGAAATTTTACGACTTTTTCGTGAATTACCGATCTGACCGTTACTTTCGTTCAAGTGACCTAGTTATACAAAGATTTAAAACACTAACAATGATAAAGTCGAGGAAGAATAACCGAACTTCAAAGCTGTGGAAGATAGTCTGTGGAAGAAAACTATCACCGAACTTAAAAAGTACCAAAGAAATTAATCCAGAAAAGTTTTTTTAGCTATTGATTCACGATATTGCAGTTTAAGAATCAGAAATCTACATTTATACCTTGTAGAGCAAATATGACTCCAATAATGACGATAACTTTAATAGTAATTGCGATGATAGTAAAGGCCAGCAGATGTCCGGTTTCAGATTGTGTCACGGATGCCACTTGTAATTGTCTCAACTTCTTTGTTTCCAGCATGATCTGCTGATTCATCCGAGCTATTTTGCTTTCTAAAATAAAATCCATTTCCACCTACATCATATTTCTCAAACTCAACTGTTCTCAAATGATTGCTGAAGACAGAAATGAACCTGTCCAATTGAAATCATTTATTGCTGTACATGTAAGCGACAAAATAGAGCTTAAGGAAAAGATTTGAGCGAGTTGCATTCAACCGGTTGACAATAATGATTCAGTTAGCAATAATGCCATCTTTCTGAAAACTTTCCGCTAGCTTCATAGAGTATCATTTTTATTACTGAAATAATTTAATGTAAATGTACAACGACAAGAAGGCATCACAAACAATTGCTTACAATTCTTCCCTTCTGTATCCTCCACAACTTGTCTGAAGACGGATATGTCAGTGACAAATGTGACATATAGGACTGAACATAAACAACTTCTCAAGTGTCTTACTAATGCAGTTACAATCTTGTTATTATTAGGATTTTACCAACAGCTTTATCAAAAAAACGCTTATTCAATCTTCAGTTGGAAAACGCAAACATTAATTTTTAAAGTGAATTCAGCTTCAAAGAAGTTTGAGCTAAAATTCAGTCAGCTCCAGACATTCCGTCATGAATGAATAAATTTAAGTTTTCCTCATTTGTGTTTTGAAATTTAAATTTTAAATAAAATTTGCAGCTGGTGACAAAATAAAATTTTACACGAAGCCTACCTCATTTTTCTATATTCTACGTTATTCTCAGTAGCAGGTTAGCCTTGATCAAAAAAATTAGCAGAAGCAAAATCTATGGTAGATTTTTGAAATGCAAATATTCGTCGCGAAATGATAATGCATATGAAGATTACGCTTACAAACTTATCATAATCAGTGAGGAATTATTCGTAGGAGATAATATTGTGATACCATCTTGGTATCATAATTTTAAAGAACATTTTAAGGAGGTATAGAGGACTGTACGGATTGGATAGTATCATCCAAAACTAACGTTGACTAATATGTAACAGTTATTTGTAGGATTATCTGTAGGAGTTTGCGGACCTTTTAATCGTTATCACCTTTCATCATAATTGTTTTCAGTGAATTAATATCATTTCTTTTCGTTTTTCCTTTTAACCATTTTTGTAGTTCTTCTGCGATAGTTTGTATGAGATGAAGGAATAATTATGCGGTTGAAAATGACTTCGATTTAATGATATTTCGATGATTAGTAGTGCTCCGAATGAAATACTAACAACCAAATAAATTGGTTGATCGTGAGAAATAGCATATATTAAAGTGATGAGAGAGATGTCAACATTTTCAAAACGCACTTAATACTTTGTCACCATTCATTTGTCCTCAAAATGTCATTTGCCAATATTTTTTTCGAAAATTTAGTTAGGGAATATAAGGAATGAGGAAACACAGTCGATCCAGGTAGATAGAATTCATCATTTCTCATTATTCTTAAACTCTGAAATATGAACGAATTTGCTTATAATGAAATAAAGAGTAGACTCAGAACGAGGTGACCACTATGATGGCTAATTAGAAATCACCATCTCAAATCTTCGATATACTTTATCATGCTTGTGCTCCTTTGACCACTTGAGCTGCAAGTATCTCTCGACCAAATTGAAGGATACATCATAAAAATTTAACAGCACTCATCTCTTTCCCTATTTCTTCTGTCCATTCCGCATTAAGTGGTTTGAAACGAAATGGATTCCAAAAACTGCAGTCCCTTTTAACTGGAACTTATTATTCCACAAATCACACTCTTAAAAACCCTTTGATTTATTGCTACTACAGATGAGTCATTTCGAACCAAAACCAAAGTTATTTAAACCGCACGAATGAATTCATCATAAAAGAATGTTTTATTTGAAAATTTATACTAATAATACTGAACGTGTACAATTTATAGCAGTGTTATTGAATTTGTACAGTTTATACCAATATTACTGAAATCATCAGAAATGGATGCCTAGCTACTGATAGGAACAAATATTCACTCCAAATCAATAACAGCATAATGCCGTAACTTACATATCAATGTATCATTTCAGTTCTTTACCTTCAATAATCATAATCTATGTTCACATTAATATTATTTCCATAAGTTCAAAATAACCTGTAAATATCTTAGAAAAGAAATCTCATTTCATTCCACTTATTAAGACATGCAGGCTAACGCTGTTCGAGACTGATAGATATGCTGGATACATTGAATTTCTCAAGGAAACACGGGATGCTATCTTTTAAAATATCCTGTTTAGTCAGCCAATAGCCTTATCTCCAGCGTAGTAGCAAGAGGACATACGATCTTCTTCCAGTTTTCGATAGTTACATGCCAAGTGGCACTTCAGAATTACAAAAGATCCTAATTCAGATCTGTGAATTGAAGTTCCGGTATTTCAAACTTTAGACAAAATAAAATCAAAGTTAAACGAAGAAGGCTGCAGAATGAAAGTTAACTCCAATATATTAAAATTCTATGTTAACCTAGAAAATTTGGAGAAGAAAACGCTAGTAAGTAGACCAACGGAATTTATGCTAATTGAGTTTAATCCAAACAAAACCATAAGTAATTTAAACTAAATCAGATTTCAGCTCAAAGCATTTACGGAAATGATTTAGAGTACAATATACACATAACAATAAAAACATGGAGCATAATTCAGTCAGGAAAAAACTGAGAGTCTTAAGAAGGTTCAACAAGAAGTTCTAATATGATTCAATTTTGACGAACGTTAAAACTACATGCTTTTCCAAATTTCAAAAGATGCATTAACATCAGAAACTGAGACGAAGCTTTGAAAGTGCTCAGAAATTGTGAAAGTAATTCAGCGACAATAAACAAAAGGAAAGGAAGTGTTATTTCTTCTTCAATATCTCCTCATAAGTTGACGCCCTCTACTTCTCCAATGACCAGCATTATATCCACCATCATCATCAACACCATCACCATTATCACCATCATAATCATCACCATCTGGAGATGAATTGGAATCACTTACTCGATCCAACTCTTCTTCCTGATCATCATCATCATATCGCGCATTGTAATACCATCTGGCTGTTACACCATCCCACTAGATAGATGCTCAGATTTACTAAATCTATAGAACCAAAACAAGAATTAAAAAACTAATACTAACTGTTTTCCGATTTCACTGGTTTTCGTTATCCATTTCAAAAGTTCGGGATTTTAACATAAGTGACCAATAAATAGTGAAAATTTAAAATTGGATGGTACCTGAAATAAATGGTCGCAGAACTTACTGAAACGGTGATAATTTCGTTTTCGTCAGGATGCCAACAGCAGTCACGTACTACACTTCTGTGTCCATCTAATGTCCGCACAATTTCTCCCGTTAAAATGTCATAAACTGCAAAATGAATAGCAATTAAAATACATGTTGTCATATGGGACGCGTTTGATATACTAAAACATAAGAATTTAAAAGATCCACAAGAACTAACTATACAAATTCCCTTCTGTGCTACCCGTATAAACAAAGCGAAATCCAGTTTGCTCAGGTGAAAACTTGGCCCGAATGAGAGTGTGTTGCACTGAATGTCCTCGGAAAGTCAGCAATGATCCATCACCTAATGCATTTTGTTTGTATTATTAAAAAACGGTATTTAAAAAAAAACCATTATTAAAGCATTATTTGCACTATTAAAAAAAGCAAATATTCGTTCATTCGAGGATAGTATCTGCCAGATTCTCGAAACAAAAAAATAATTGTTCATTATGTTAGCCTATGGCAATGTTCACTCCATTCTGCTGTTATTTTTCACTAAAACCACCCGTCAATTTGAAAAAGATGACTTTCACAAGGAAGGTAAAGACTCAAATACAGCAACGAGAAGCAAACCTTGCAAAGGTCCCACAGATTGGAACACTGGGGGTATCTGCTGGTATCTGTAATCCCATCTTTGCCTTCGCACCGCATTAAGCGTAACCTTCTAAAAAAATTTTCAAAAAAAAGAAAGAAATAATGAGAACAAATGTCTCAGAAAACCTAACTTCATTGATACTAATTCCACTTGTCCAGCTCATTCGTTATATATTCAATAACATACACTGCAGCATACAAAATGCAATAAAAATACTTATTACTTAAAATTATTTCTTCTTTAAATGACAGTCAATAATAATGATGAAATCATATCATATGTAACATATTCTTTTAGAATGTTAACATACAAAAGTTTGTCCAAATACTCGATGCAATGCACCTCCCTACGGTGGCACGATTGCAAGCCAGGTGCAGATGTTACTGGCTTTCCAGAAATGATTATTACATTATCAGTTAAACTGCTCTCTCTGATTTTTTCAGTCACTGACAAAATTTTAAATCAAAAAGATTAAATTATCTGGTCAAAACGCAACGTCTACTTGAAATTTGGGGATAAACATATGTTCAGCTACGCTTTGACACTATTTGCTTGCTGTCATTCTAACACAGTAATTAAATGCACATTCTGGAAATTCTTATTTCATAATCCACCAGGTTATGGAGTAAGAATTGACAAAAGAAGAAAAGGGAATACCTCAGCATCACTTGAAGAAAATCGTCGCAAATCCCAAATCTTAACAGTTTGATCTTTGGAGTTTGTCAAGATATATCTATCATTACCGTGACAGTCAATGTAGGTAATACCATCGCGATGTCCTGCGAATACACCAACAGGAAGGTTAGTGCTTCCAACCAAACGAGTATCCCACATCTACACATAAGAACAAATATTCATACAAATATTCATATCATGATAAATGAACGATCTTCCTTTTGTAAATGGGTCAACACTGCGGAACAAATGGAATTTGCAGGTAGGTTACAAATAATAAGAATATACGAGGTCCGAATGATCCCTGAAACTGAATCTATTTTGCAATTACTTGATTATTCCATGCAGAGTTTGAAAAGTTAACGGGATCAAGACTTGGTCCCATTCAGCTTCTTTAATTTTTATAATGGCAAAGACCAAATGCCACTTACTCCGGCTTTTTGGTCTGGAAGTATACTTATTCTTTCGAGGACATAATTAGATGATCAGAGGAATCAATTATCCTCCTCATCCTCTTTAATGTTAGAAATTCAGTACCTTACAAAGTCCGTCATCGCTTCCACTACAAAAAATATGCGGATTAATTTTACTGCAACAAATTGCATTGACATCATCCTGATGAGCTGGGAACTGTAACAAGGTTTAAAACTCGGCATCTTCAATTCTTCGAATTTGCTTTTCTCAAATCTCTAATTCAGAATTAAGTATGAGGTTTCGTTGTTTTTATATGAATAATGCTTTCGTAAAAAAAAAACAAATAATGGGATGGAGTTGCTAGTTGCAAGATAGCTTAAACACACTTTTACACAACGATTTTCAGAACTTGAAGTATTTTCACACTATTCAAATATAACAAACAAATCAGTTTATGTCTTTCCAGCTTGCTTGAAACCTCTGAGACGATTGTCTATATTTTAAGAATTTTTAGACATCACTGTCGGGTTATTATTTCAACTCTGCTAGAATTTTGCATAAAATATTTGATCGAAAAACGATACATACCATTTGGAAATAAGGCTGTGCACAAGAGAACATGTATATGAAACCATCCGATCCACCAGCTATTAGATAACGGTCATCCATGTTATATCGCAAGGAAAAATACGCAAACCTGAAACTGGCACCACTGTAAACTTCGAAAAAAAACACTGTATCCAAAATGACAAGTAAAGACGGCATTAAAATAACAAGAAGTAGAAAATTACAGCAGTAAAGAGCAAAGAAGTGTACGTGATATTTGATATTGCCAGAAAGTTTAGACTCAAGAACATTGAAAATCTAACATCATCGAATAAACTTGAAATCGTATTGAATCAAAATAAGTTGAGCACAAAGATGGAATCAAGTGGGAAAAGTTTACCTGCTGGAACGTGATGGTGGCATTTCTGTTCCAAAGAATGTATCCCAATGCAAATGATCACTCAATGTATCAACAGCAGCATAGTGAACTACAACATTAAAATCCATTATTCAATTATAAAACTTTTCGTTACTTAAAGTGCATATATTTTTCATTTTGTCTTAGAAAATTATCGAAATGTTGGTAAATTAACATTACTTTTCCCAAGATTGCTTATACAGAAAAAACTAAAGAATGTAGGCTAAATCTCTTTTTTTTAAAATTTGTGACTACTTTTTTAAAAACAGAAAGAAAAAATTATTTGATGCACCAAAGTGTAATGAAATGAAATTCGATATGAAGCTTAAAAGTTCAATTCAAACGATATAAGATTATTATTACGAAACCAGCAATAAATGTCTCAATCCAGAAAAAACAATCCAAAAAACAAGCTTATTAAGGATGACTTGTAATTTGGTATGACTTCGTATGTTCACATTCAAAACTAATTTTGTCAAGCTACCAACTGCTTACAAAGTAGAATAAATTTTTCTCTAGCAACAAAAAAAAAAATACTAGCACCATTCATTAAAACATATCAGACTCAATAAATGAAACTGACTTTGATCTTCTTAGAAGACTCAATAACACCGAAGTACTACCAATGTGCAATAATGCCGTATATGAACAAGTAAAGACAGAAAAGTAGTTGTGGGTGGAAGAAAATAGTAAAGTAAATAATAAAAGATCGAAGGAAATGAAAAAAGAATTTAATGATTTTAGGATTGCAAAAAACAAAATAAGAAGGAATTTGAATACAACATCTCACATGTCGCTATGGTTGAGGATAATCAAAAGACATACTATCTCGTGAGATAATCGAAAAGCAAAAGAAAAAACGACCATTAAATATCAGACTCGACAGTTATAGAAAAAAGGAGTAAATTATTCCAGAAGCAAATTATGTAATATCGAAATATGGAAAACAACTCTGAGCCACAGAAACAGAAAAAACAACGAAGTCGATATAAGAAAAACCTTATGAAGATTTACATATACAGCAGCGAAATACCGTAATGATTCTCGGGCTGATATGTGACCTAAGCAATGAGTTCCTATCAGATACGTAAGCGATAATTGATATCTTGTCTAAAGAAGTGATATGTATTTGGTTATTTCCCAACATATGCAATCCACCAGTCGTATTATCCGTTACCAAGTTGTAAAACTTGTACTGCAAAACATTGGAACGTTGTTGTTGAGTATCACGTAAAGTTTCATGTCGTTCGATTAATGATATCGGTATACGGTAAATTTCAAATCCAAAGAGTATAATGTTTCCGAATAAAAACAATAAGTGTAAAATGGATGAAAAACATGATAACGTACTTCGTAAGAGGCACGAATGACCACTTTGTCCACCTTTTTTCGAATTGCTGAACTG